CCCCCCCCGCCCAGTTTTCCCATCCCACTCACCCCCGCGGCGGTTTCAGGGGGGGAATTCCAGGCGGGAATGCCGGAATTGCCAGCGGGAATTCCCGGGAATCACCTGTGACCTCCTGGAGCTCCTGGAAGTGCTGCTGGATCCACCCCCGGAGCCGCGTCTGCCGTCGCTGCACCGCCGCCAGTTCCTGGAGCACTGCCACCAGGATGGACCAGTATGGACCAGTATGGACCAGTAACACCCAGGGACCTCCCAGTACAGCCCAGTACCCTCCCAGTCCATCCCAGTCCAGCCCAGTCCAGCCCAGTCCATCCCAGTCTGCCGCCGCTGCGCCGCCACCAGCTCCCGGAGCACTGCCACCAGTAGGGACCAGTATGGACCAGTAGGGACCAGTAACACCCAGGGACCTCCCAGTACAGCCCAGTGCCCTCCCAATCCAGCCCAGTCCATCCCAGTCCAGCCCAGTCCAGCCCAGTCCATCCCAGTCTGCCGCCGCTGCGCCGCCGCCAGCTCCCGGAGCACTGGGACCAGTAGGGACCAGTATGGACCAGTAGGGACCAGTATGGACCAGTAGGGACCAGGATGGACCAGGATGGACCAGTAACACCCAGGGACCTCCTAGTCCATCCCAGTGCTCCCAGTGCTCCCAGTCCATCCCAGTCCATCCCAGTCTGCCGCTGCTGTGCCACCGCCAGCTCCCGGAGCACTGCCACCAGTAGGGACCAGTATGGACCAGTATGGACCAGTAACACCCAGGGACCTCTCAGTCCATCCCAGCGCCCCCCCAGTGCTCCCAGTGCCCTTCCAGTTCCCTCCCAGTACATCCCAGTGCCCTCTCAGTGCTCTCAGTTCCCTCCCAGTACATTCCAGTGCCTTCCCAGCACATCCCAGTGCCCTCCCAGCACATCCCAGCACCCTCCCAGTACATCCCAGTTCCCTCCCAGCACATCCCAGTGCCCTCCCAGTGCTCCCAGTTCCCTCCCAGTACATCCCAGTTCCCTCCCAGTGCTCCCAGTTCCCTCCCAGCACATCCCAGTGCCCTCCCAGTGCTCCCAGTTCCCTCCCAGTACATCCCAGTTCCCTCCCAGCACATCCCAGTGCCCTCCCAGTGCTCCCAGTTCCCTCCCAGTTC